TTTGTTTATTGAGATATAGTTCACATACTATAAAATTCACTCTTATAACTCAGTGGTTTTTAGTATATTGATACTTGTACAACCATGTCCACTATCTCATTCCTGAATTTTGTTTAATTTTGCCTGGTTTTTTGAGTCTTGCTTGCTTTATCCCTTTCTCTTCTTCTCTGTATTACTGAAGCATATAGTATCAGTTTGTTTCGTAATTAGGGGTATTAACTTTGGTCACTTCGTTAAGGGGGTATCTGTCAGATTTCTTTATTGTACTGTTATTATTTTATCCTTTCATAATCTGGTAATTGATATCATTATCAAGGTAATTAATGATTTCTGGGGAAGTATTTTGTGACTATGTAAATATCCTGTTTTCTTTTTTTTTTTCTTGTCAGTGTTGTTTTTTTTTTTCCGAGACATGGTCTCACTCTGTTGTCCATATGGGAGTGCAATGGCTTGATCTAGGCTCACTGCAACCTCTGCCTTCCAGGTTCAAGCAATTCTCCCAGCTCAGCCTCCTGAGAAGTTGGGACCAAAGGTGCGTGTGCCACTATGCTCAGCTAATTTTTGTATTTTTTGATAGAGATGGCATTTCACCATATTGGCCAGGCTGGTCTTGAACTCCTGACCTCAAGTGATCTGTCCGCCTTGGCCTCCCAAAGTGTTGGGATTACAGGTGTGAGCTGCTGTGCCCAGCCCAATATCCTGTTTTTCAACAAACTTGTACTCATTATTTTTAGTTCCATTGATAATTCTTAAGTGAAACAATTATTAGCATGGTGATTGCCACATGTAAATTATCTAACTCTTCCACTTCTTCTACGTTTAAGGATGGACTCATAGGTTTTATTCTATGGGCCATAAATCCCTTGTTGGCCTTCTTTATTCACGTTGACACAGGTTTGGCCAAAGAGAGCGCCATCAAGCTGGGTCTAGTGTACTTTTGATTTGTTCCTACCTTCCTTTCAGCATGTCCTGTTTTCTGACACAGTACAGTGTTTTGGGTTTATCTTGTACTTCCCTATCCAGTTCTGGAATAATCATTTATCCAAGGAACTCTGATTCCTTTGGGGAGTGCTATTTAGAAACCAAGGTCTGGAACTCTAGGTATGCTCATAGCGATGGGAGCGTCGTTGCTTCTAGGCTTTGGCTGTGTCTCTTCAGAGTCCACTATAGTCATCCTATTTCTGTCTGCTGTAGATGATACTAAAGTTCCATTCTTCATCCCTTCCATTTTCCTCCCTATAAGTTAGTACCTGGAAGCATTCTTAGAGGTCACAAGAAATCATTATATTCAGGTATGGAATGCAATTTTTGTGTAGATAACAAATCTATATTCATGAAATCTGATTCTGCCCATCATCCATCTTTTTGCAAAGTCTTTTCCTATGAAAGGTATGTTTTTTCTTTTCTTTTCTTTTCTTTTCTTTTCTTTTCTTTTCTTTTCTTTTCTTTTCTTTTTGAGACAGAGTCTCTCTCTGTTACCCAGGCTGGAATGAAGTGGCACAGTCTCAGCTCACCACAAACTCTGCCTCCTGGGTTCAAGCGATTCTCTTGTCTCAGCCTCTCTAGTAGCTGGGATTACAGACATGTGCCACCACGCCCGGCTAATTTTGTATTTTTAGTAGAGTCGGGGTTCTCCATGGTGGTCAGGCTGGTCTCGAACTCCTGACCTCAGGTGATCTCCCTGCTGCAGTTTCCCAAAGTGCTAGGATTACAGGTGTGAACCACTGCGCCCGGCCAAGGTGTGTTTTTTCTTTCTTTTCTTTCTTTCTTTCTTTTTTTTTTTTTTTTTTGAGATGGAGCCTTGCTCTTTCTCCCAGGCTGGAGTGCAGTGGCGTGATCTGGGCTCACTGCAAGCTCTGCTTCCCGGGTTCACACCATTCTCCTGCCTCAACCTCCCGAGTACCTGGGACTACAGGCGCCTGCCACCTCACCCAGCTAATTTTTTGTATTTTTAGTAGAGACGGAATTTCACCGTATTAGCCAGGATGGTCTCGATCTCCTGACTTTGTGATCCGCCTGCCTCGGCCTCCCAAAGTGCTGGGATTACAGGGGTGAGCCACTGCGCCCGGCCCAAGGTGTGTTTTTTCTAAACAGTTTTTTGAAAGAGTAGGTCATGTTACCTAACAACCACTGACTATCTATTCTTTAATATGTGTTCAGTTGTGTTGCTGTATTCTTGACATCACATAACAGAAGAATAAAGAAATTTTCTTCACATCAGACTGGAAGGTAGTGGAAATGTTTACTGTTTGTTTATTCTGTTTTCAGTAACCGTTTCAACCGTTCCATGTCTATAATTTGCTTGACAAATAATTAATGACTCCCATTGTACTAGGTCATAGTATTCCTCATAGTCATAAAATGCCAGCAAGAAGGACCCTTAGCCTGTTGAGTCCAATCCCTTACTTTTTTTTTTCCTCCAAGATGGAGTCTCACTCTGTCACCCAGGCTGGAGTGCAATGGCATGATCTCAGCTCACTGCAACCTCTGCCTCCCAGGCTCAAGCGATTCTCCTGCCTCAGCCTCCTGAGTAGCTGGGATTATAGGCGTCCGCCACCATGACCGACTGATTTTTGTATTTTTTGTGCAGGTGGGGTTTCACCATATTAGCCAGGCTGGTCTCGAACTCCTGACCTCAGGTGATGCACCTGCCTTGGCCGCCCAAATTGGTAGGATTGCAGGCATGAGCCACCACAACTAGCCAATCCTTTACTTTTATAGGTGGAGAAACTGAGACCTAAGAACTGAACTGACTTAAGTCCGTGGCTAATTGATTGCAGAGCCAAAAGTGGAGTCCAGGGCTCCTAACTTCCGTTCTAGAACATTTTTGCTGTAGGTAGTGGAGAGAGATTGGGTTGATGGAACCTGTCTGAAGTTTCCATGGTTGCTGGGTGGAAACAGCACGCTCCCTTCTGTGTTGGCACTCAGGTATCCAGATGGGCATTGAATTTTTCTGGTGATTGGTCATTTGATGACCAGGCAGGGGAGCAGAAAACGAGATGGTCCAGACCAGAAGCTGTTTAAGGATGTGTTGTTGCCTGACCAGACACCTTAAGGTCAGAATTCTGAGTAGTTTCAAAACTCCTCCTCCCTTTCCTAGCCCCATCTACGGACTTTCTGCTTTCTTCAAAATGCTCTGTTGGGCAGGTGCAGTGGTTCACGCCTCTAATCCCGACACTTAGGCCGAGGCGGGAGGATTACATGGGCCTAGGAGTTCAAGACCAGCCAAGGCAACATAATGGGCTGGGCCCTTTTCTCTACCAAAAAAAAAAAGGGCCGAGTGTGGCGGTATGCACCTACAGTCCCAGCTACTTGAGGGGCTGAGGCAGGAGGGTCACTTGAGCCTGGGAGGTTGGGGCTGCAGTGAGCCGTGATCACACTACATTCCAGTCTGGGAGACGGTGAGGACCTGTCTCAAAAAAAAAAAACCCGCAAAACCAAAAAAGACCTTGCTCTGTTTATAAAAAAGGTCTGTTGGTTTTCTTTTTTAATATTTTCAGTTTAGCAGTATTTTGACATCAACATAGTTACATTCGTACAAGTTTCTTAAAAAGTTAAATACAGGCCAGGTGCGGTGGCTGACGCCTGTAATCCCAGCACTTTGGGAGGCCGAGGCGGGTAGATCACGAGGTCAGGAGATGGAGACCGTCCTGGCTAACACAGTGAAACTCCGTCTCCACTAAAAATACGAAAAAATTAGCTGGGCGTGGTGGCGGGCGCCTGTAGTCCCCGCTCCTTGGGAGCCTGAGGCAGGAGAATGGCGTGAACCCGGGAGGCAGAACTTGCAATGAGCCAAGATCGTGCCACTGCACTCCAGTTTGGGTGACAGAACGAGACTCCATCTCAAAAAAAAAAAAAAAAAAAGTTAAACACAAATATATCTTATGATCCATTCCTGACTGTCTACCCAAGAGCGGTGAAAACGTATGTCCACCCAAAGACTTGTATGTAAATAGCAGCATTGTTCGTGATGGTCAACAAGTAGAAACAAGCCAGCTGTCCAGGAACTGGGGAATATGGATAAACAAAGCGTAGTTATTCTTACTATGGAATATTATTCACCCATAAAAAGAAGTGAAATACTGACAAGTTAGAAAGTGGATGAACCTCACAAACTTGTGTTAAGTGACCAGAAGACCTCATTATGATTTCAGTTCCTTGAAATATCTAGAAAAGGTAAGTCTGTAAAGACAGAAAGTACATCAATGGTTGCCTTAGGCTAAAGTTGGAAATGAAGAAAGACATGGAAATGGTCATGAGTTCTCCTTTTTGGGGTGATAGGGGTGCTCTAAAAGTGGGTTTTGGTGATGGTTGCACAACTTTGTTAATATACTAGAAAATATTCAATTGTACACTTACAGGTGAATTTTATAGTGTGTGAATTATACTTCATAAAGCTTTAAAAAATTACATTTTAAATTTGATGTCTGTAATAGTTGTCGTATTTAAGTATCTTATCCTGTCTTCATTATTAAACATTTTTATACTGCTTTCTTTCCACTTTTAAGTAGGATTTTCAAGGAATGCTAATGTCAGATGATGTTAATGGTAACAGTAAAAATAGCTAGCATTTGTAAAATAGTTACTATGCACCAGACATTATGCTAAGTACTTCTCAGGTTATCTCACAGTAGCATTGTGATATTGGTACTACTATCCTCATTTTACAGCAGAGGAAACAGTTTCATAGAGGTAAATGACTTGTCCAAAGTTACACAGTAAGGAGACAGTGAGACAGGAATTTGAGCCGAGTCATTTGATCTCTGTGCTCTGTATATGGATATGCGGTGTTTTTGGTGGAGGATTGTACTGCTTTTCATATGCCGTGACTGTTAAACACTCATGTGTATATGCACTGGGATGAATGCTCTGTATAACTATTTATGTGTGATCTCTCTAGGAAATTCAGATGGGCATTTGGTTTTGCCTGTTTGTCATAGAGCTTGTACAGCATAGTGAATCTTATTAATCAGTTTTACTTCTTTTTCTCTATTCCTCAGCCTTAATTTTAAAGACCCCGAAGCAGTCAGAGCTCTGACTTGTACTCTCCTAAGGGAAGATTTTGGACTTTCTATTGATATTCCATTGGAGAGACTAATTCCCACAGTTCCCTTGAGACTCAACTATATTCACTGGGTGGAAGATCTGATCGGTCACCAGGATTCTGACAAAAGTACTCTCCGAAGAGGAATTGACATAGGTATATAGTGTGGAATTCTTTTTTGGCTAAACATAGGTTTCGTAAGTTTTGCAAGCTCAAATTCTTTGTAAACTTTTCTACTGGGTATTTGTTGTTGTACAAAAGAAGCTGGCTACAGATACAGGTTGAGCATCCTTAATCCAAAAATCCGAAATGCTTCCAAATCTGCAAGCTTTGAGCACTGATATGCTGCTCAAAGGCAATGTGCATTGGAGCTTTCCAGATGTGGGGATTAGGGATGTTCAGCCTGTAAATATAATGCAAATATTTCAAAATCTGAAAACAAAAACTGAAATCCAAAACACTTCTCATCCCAAGCATTTTGGATTAGAGATCCTCAACCTGTATTACCATTCTTATTTACTACACCTGTTACCATTCTTATTTACTACACTTGAGCATCCTTAATCCAAAAATCAAACAAGCCTAAATCTGCAAAGCTTTGAGCACTGATATGTTGCCTGTGCTGCACGCATTGAGCTTTCCAGATGTGGGGATTAGGGATGTTCAGCCTGTAAAATATAATGTAAATATTTCAAAATCTGAAAACAAAACTGAAATCCAAAACACTTCTCATCCCAAGCATTTTGGATTAGAGATCCTCAACCTGTATTACCATTCTTATTTACTACACCTGTTACCATTCTTATTTACTACACCTGTTAATGCTTCTATTTACTACACCTGTTACCATTCTTACTTACTACACCTATTACCATTCTTATTTACTACACCTGTTACCGTTTTTTATTTACCATACCTGTTACCATTGTTATTTAATACACCTATTACTGTTCTTATTTACTACACCTGTTAATGCTTCCATTTACTACACCTGTTACCATTCTTACTACACCTATTACCGTTCTTATTTACTACACCTGTTACCATTCTTATTTACTACACCTGTTACCATTCTTATTTAGTATACCTGTTACCGTTCTTATTTACTACACCTGGCCTTTTCTCCCACTGATTTCTCTTGAGAAGGGATTGTCAGTCCAAACAGGGAGTAAGAGGTTAAGGGAAGTACAAAATGAAAGTGAGGCTCTTACTTACATAGCTTTTCATTTTTTAAATTTTTTTAATTTTGAAATAGGGTCTCATCGTGTTGCCCAAGGTTGGTCTTGACTCCTGGACTCAAGCAATCCATGTGCCTTGGCTTCTCAAAGTGCTGGGATTACAGGCATGAGCCACGACACCTGGCCCTACTTAGCTTTTCAGATTACCACATTGATGTCTGTGTCTGTTGGGCTTTATTTTTACTCTGGTGTCTTCATATTGTGATTTTTTTTTTTTTTGAAGTGGAGTTTTGCTCTTGTTGCCCAGGCTGGAGTGCAATGGCGTGGTCTCAACTCAGTGCAACCTCTGCCTCCCAGGTTCAAGCAATGCTCCTGCCTCAGCCTCCTAAGTAGCTGGGATTACAGGTGCCCTCCACCACACCTGGCTAACTTTTGTACTTTTAGTAGAGATGAGATTTCACCATGTTGATCAGGTTGTTCTCAAACTCCTGGCCTCAGGTGATCTGCCCACCTCGTCCTCCCAAAGTGCTGGGATTACAGGCGTGAGCCACCACGCCTGACCACTGCACCTGGCCTCTATTTCGGACTCAGTGGAATTATTAGCATTCTTCACTCCTAGATAGTAGTAAGTGTTTAACTTTGATGTTTGCATACATTTTCAGTCCTCATCCTACATGATCTTTTCAGCGGCATTTATTGATCTCTCCTTTCTCTTTTGTTCGCTCTCCTTCATTTGCTTTCATGACGCCAGACTGTTGGTTTCCTCTTTCGTTTCTGTGCACTGTTCTCCGCTTGTCAGGCGTACCTGCCTGTATCTGACTACTAGGTGTTGGTATTCCTTGCATAAGGCTCAGCCTTCAGCTCCTTTCTCACTCAGCACCCTACCCTGGCAATTGCATTCACTTCTATGACGATTTCCCACCTCCATACAAATAAATCACTTGTTTATATGTTCCTCCAACTCGGATTACTTTCCTTGACCTCCGATCTCATATATAAGAGAAACTTGGATTTCTGAAAAACATCTCAGACTTGCTGTGTCCAAGACCAAACTCACACTCTGTTTCCCTAATCCTGGTTCTCTTTGTTTCTTGTTTCAGTGAGTCTACCATAGTCCACCCTGTGATCCTTGGTACTTGCTTCCCCACACTCAGTAAAAAAATGTCTATGACTGTTTCCTGTTGACTTTCTCTCTTAAATACTTCTGAAATCATCTACTTCTCTCCATCTCCACTGCTGTCCTAGCCAAGTCATCATCTCTTACCTTTTTGCATTTCTGCATTTCTCACCTCTTCTGCTTCTCACTTAGTTTTGCTTAAAAAGCTTGACAGCCTAGTTGGTACTAATTTGATTTTAATTATGCCCCAAACCCTCAAAAATAGCATTTGAGGATAGAGGAGGTTAATGGATTTTAATTCTTCACAAGGGGCACTACCTAACTGCAATCACATCCATTCTAATTAGGGCTTTATATAAATTCTTCCCCCAGACTCCATCAGTTTGCTCTAGTTCTACGATTACGTACTTTCCATTTTTATTTATCATTACAAAGATTATTACCCATTTAAAAATGTCATTTGGCTTTCTGAGGGGATTTTGTTCTGTCCTATAAAGGACTAGTAAAGAATCTGTTGCATTCTATTAGAGTGCAAGTCTTTGGGTCTTGAGAATTAAGAAACTTTTTTTGGCGCTGACAAATCTTTTATGTATATTTATTACCCTGGAGGTAAGTGTACTTTTTTAATCTTTTAAATGAAATTGAAGTTTGAAGAGAGAGGCAGTTGTGTAAAAGTCAAGGATCTGGTCTGGATTTTTTTCCTACAGAGTAGAAAGTACAACTGAAATGTTCTGATTGTGTGTGTGTCTGGCTTACTAGAACGGCCAGCAGGAGCTAAAGCAGTGTGGTTTCTGAGAAGACCTTGAATACCCTTTACCACCCTTTCCCTCACCACCCCCAGGTATCCAAGGAGGTGCTTGTCCAGTAGCACGGGGCCAGGATACTCTCGGGCAAACGTCGCAGGCAACGCAGCATTCACCGTGACCATCAAAGAGCTTAAATGTTGGGGCCGTCAGCTTTTAGTAGCCTTTTCTGGATGCGTAATGAGGAAGCAGTATGACAAGCCTGATTTCCTCTGGGTTAGGAGTATCTAGCCCCTGCTTCTCCCTGGCAAATCCTTACAAGGCTAGACCGGAACTGGGATATGGTCAGATGAGAGCAGACCTACAGTGGCTGGTGGAGGCTGACTGCCTTAGGCCTTTGGGAGAACCACCCTTCTCTTGAATATACTCTATAGGATCTAATTGGCCAAGATAGTCAATATTGTAAAAGAGAGAGAGATTGAGATTTGCTCTGTCACCCAGGCTGAAGTGCAGTGGCAAGGTCTCGGCTTACTACAACCTCCACCTCCCAGGTTCGAGTGATTCTCCTGCCTCAGCCTCCTGAGTAGCTGGAATTGCAGGTGCCCACCATCATGCCCAGCTAATTTCTGTAGTTTTAGTAGAGACGGGGTTTCACCATGTTGCAGGCAGGCCTGGAACTCCTGACCTCAGGTGGTCCGCCCACCTCAGCCTCCTAAAGTGCTGGGACTACAGGTGTGAGCCACCATGCCTGGCCTTTAAAAACAATATTCATGGTTAGTATATAGTCCAGTCCAGGGCTCGGGGTTCTACATAATTTAGTATCAAACCCTAGTGGTCAAAGAGTGTTTTTGTCTGGAGTGTTTGCCTTTTGAATACCTCCCTTGACACTGTGGTGAGGCGAGCCAGTGACTCTGATGTCTTGGCTCCAAACCAAATATTTTCCCATGTCTCCACATCTAAGAGATGAGTTATCTCTTTAATCTGTTTAGTTTTTTTGTTTGTTTGTTTTTTCCACTTCTTATTTCCTTCAGCTGACAACTTACAGATATTTGGGTAATTCAGCAGTTTAATAAACATTTTATACCCTACATATTTTTTCTTTCTTTTGGAAAATGGAACGTACATTGATCCGTTTTAAGATATTACAAAGGCATCTTAACAAATAGCATTGTTTTCTTTTAAGAAAATTGAGTTTTGTGTGAGATTTAAAATGAAGACTCTTTACAAAGTAAATCAGCTGAGTTTTGAGCATTTTGGGTGAATTAGTCACATATTCCTCAACCTCTGCTTGTGTATTCTTCATTTTTTATACAACACACGAAAGAGGAGACCAGCAAGGTTTTAATACTTCAGGAAGTTTGAGTCTAATTAGGAGGTAAGACTAACATACACGAATGACTAGGGAACCCAGTAGCCATAATATATGTGAAATCAGGTACCAGCTTGTGATTTCTCTACCAAAAAATACAAAAATTACAAAAAATACAAAAATTAGCCAGGCATGGTGGCATGCACCTGTAGTCCCAGGAACTCGGGAGGCTGAGTGGAGAGAATCACCTGAGCCCAGGAAGTCGAGGCTGCAGTGAACCGTGATCACACCACTGCACTGTAGCCTGGGTGACGGAGTGAGACCCTGTCTGAAAACAGAATTCTGGTGTTTTCATGATTATTCTAACCTTTCCCTCTGGTGTGTGGAATGTGTTTTGAATTTTCGTTTTACTAGGTACGGGGGCGTCCTGCATCTACCCCTTACTCGGAGCAACCTTGAATGGCTGGTATTTCCTTGCAACAGAAGTGGATGATATGTGTTTCAACTATGCAAAGAAAAATGTGGAACAGAATAACTTATCTGATCTCATAAAAGGTTAGCGCCACAGAATGAATACCTCCACACTCTGTGTCTTCACCTGCCTTTTTAGTTTAACACATTTCATTACCTTTTTCTTTAATATGCAGACTTTGGCAATTTTTTAAAATCCGGCACTTTGTAATTGGGTTTGCTGTCTGTCTTGATACCAGAATTAACTCAGAAAGAAAATAGTAACTACAGTTGATCCTTATTGTTTGTGGATTCTTTATTAGTGAATTTGCCTGCTTGCCGAAATTTATTTATGTATCCGTTCATTTGTTTTAGTAGATTTTCTTGAATAAATGTTTTTTTATTCGTTATAACCCCTTAGAAACATTTCCAGAGACTTTAAGTGGTGGTTTTTTGTTTGTTGAGTTTATTTTTTAGGGCATTTTTAGGTTCATAGCAAAATGAAGTGGAAGGTTCAGAGATTCCCTGTATATACCTGCCCCCACACATGCATAGCCTTCTCCATTATCAGCATCCCCCAGCAGAGTGGGATATTTGTCACAGGTGATGAACCTATGCTGGCACATCATTGTCCCCCACCGTTGGTACTTTACATCACAGATTCCTCTTGGTGGTGTACATTCCGTAGTTTTGGACGAATGAAGTGGACGTGTGTCTCCCAGTACGGTATACACAGAATCGTTTCACTGCCCTGCGGTCTTCTGTGCCTCAGCTGTCCGTCTCTCACTGCCCCCAGCCCCAGGAAACTCCTGACCTGTTTACTGTCTCCAGAGTTGTACATTTCCAGAACGTCATATAATTGGAATCACACAGCAGATAGACTCTTCGGAGTGGCTTCTTCCGCTGAGTGACATTTATTTAACTTTCCTAATGTCTTTTTACAGTTTGATAGCTTTTTAAAAAATTCTTTTAATTTATTTTTTTTTCTGCTGCCTCTCTAATTGCAGAAAGCTCATTTATTTTTAGCACATTTCATTTTGATATTCGATTATCTGGGTGTACCAGAGTTTCTCCATTCACCTCTTGAAGGACATCTTGATTGTTTCCAAATTTTGACAATTACAAATAAAGTTGTGAGAAACATCTGTGTGCAGCTTTTTCTGCGCATGTAAGTTTTTGACTCCTTTAGGTAAATACCAAGCAGTGTGCTTGCTGGATGGTATGCTAATGGTGTGTTTAATTTTGTGAGAAACCACCAAACTCCTTCCAGAGTACCGTTTTGCACTCCCACCAGCAATGGACGAAAGTTCCTGTTGCTCACATCCTTGCCAGCACTGGGTGTTGTCAGTGTTCTGGGATTTGGCCATTCTAATAGGTGTGTAGTGGTATTTCATTATTTTAATGTGCATTTTCCTGATATTGATGTAGAGCATCTTTTCATGTGCTCGTTTACCATCTGTATATCTTTTTTGGTGAGATGTCTGTTCAGGCCTTTTGCCCCCCGCTTTTTTTCTTTTTTTTAGAGACTTAGTTTTGCTCTTGTTCCCCAGGCTGGAGTGCAATGGCGCGATCTCGGCTCACTGCAACCTCTGCCTCCCAGGTTCAAGCGATTCTCCTGCCTCAGCCTCCCAAGTAGCTGAGATTACAGGCACCCCCAACCATGCCCAGCTAAGTTTTGTATTTTTAATAGAGATGGGGTTTCACCATGTTGCCCAGGCTAGTCTCAAACTCCTGTCCTCAAGTGATTCTCTTGTCTGGACCTCCCAGAGTGTTGGAATGATAGACATGAGCTACTGCCCCCAGCCAAGTCCAGCTTACTGATCTTCTTTTAAGGAATTATATACAGTACCGTTGGTATTATATCCAAAAGTTCTGTAATCTCAGCACGCTGGGGGCTGAGGTGAGTAGATCTTTGAGGTCAGGAGTTCGAGACCAGCCTGGCCTACATGACGAAACCCCATCTCTACTAAAAATACAAAAATTAGTCGACGTTGTGGCGCATGCATGTAATCCCAGTGACTCAGGAGGCTGAGGAGCAAGAATCACTTGAGTCTGGGAGGCGGAGGTTGCAGTAAGCCGAGATCGCGACGCTGCACCCCAGCCTGGGAAACAGAGCAAGACTCTGTTACTTTCTAGGAGTTTTATAGTCTTGCATTTTGCATTTAGGTTTGTGATCTGTTTTGAGTTAAATTTTGTGAAGGATGTAAGGTCTGTGTCTAGATTCATTTTATGCATGTGGATGTCCAAGTGATGTTCCAGTATCAGTTCTTGAAAAGACTGTATCTGTTCTGTTCTATTGATCTATTCATTCACTAAAAACATGCTGTTTTGATTATAGTAGCTTTGTAGTAAGTCTTAGAATTGGGTAGTGTCAGTCTTTCAACTTGCCTCTTCTCTTTCAATACTGTGTTGGCTATCCTGAGCCTTTTGCCTCTCCAAATAAACTTTAAAATTAGTTTGTCAATAGCTAAAGTGTATGCATGTATGTTTATATGTATGAATGTGTTTCCTTATTTAATTTTAGAGTCAGGGTCTCACTGTCACCCAGGCTGGAGTGTAGTGGCTCACTGTAGCTTTAACCTCCTATGTTCAGGTAATCATCCAGCCTCAGCCTTGTGAGTAGCTGAGACTGCCAGTGTGTGCCACCACGCCTGGCTAATTTTTGTGTTTTTTTGTAGAGATGGGGTCTTGTCATGTTGCCCAGGCTGGTCTTAAATTCCTGGGCTCGAGTGATTTTCTGGCCTCAGCCTCCCAAAGTGCTGGAGTTACAGGCGTGAGCCACTACCCCCAACCAAAAATTTATTTTTAACTTAAAATTGACATTCATGGTACTTTTGTGGTCATTCACAGACACGTGCATAGTGGCATGTAATTGGAGTTGCCCAGTGTGCGTGTTCCCAGCTGAGGCTCAGCAAAGCGATGCTCTGCCTTCTTACTCCAGCTTCCATTCTGTGGACGAAGCGTCCTTTTCTTGGTCTATTTAATACCACGTTTTGGGTGTTTTTTTATTTTTATTTTGCATTTTTGTGCTTTCTCTTGGTGATTTTGCTGTTTAAAATAGTCCGTAAACATAGTGCTGAAAGGCTGTCTTGTGTTCCTCAGTGCAAAAAGGCTGTGACGTGCCTTACAGAGAAAATACATGTGTTAGATAAGCTTCCTTCAGACACGAGTCATAGTGGTGTTGGCCATGAGTTCAGTGTTAGTGAATCAGCAATGTATATTCGATAAAGTGTCTTTAAACACCATAAAACAAGATTGTGTGTCTATCAGTTGATGAAAATGTGATGAGAGACTTGTAGGAACCTAACCCTGTATTTCCCCTGGGAACCAGTGGTTCAGTATTCACTCATTGACTATTTGCAGCTACTTTGTACAACATAACTAGCGCAGATAATGAGAATTGACTATATGTGAAGTAACTTAGTCAGAAAGATTTTAAAAGGAAAGAAACCCTACTGTTGCTTAAACTATACCATCTTTTTAATTTCAGTACATAGGCAGGGTGCAGTGGCTCACGCCTGTAATCCCAGCACTTTGGGAGGCCGAAGCAGATTGCCTGAGGTAGGGAGTTTGAGAGCAGCCTGATCAACGTGGTGAAATTCCATCTCTACTGAAAATACAAAAATTAGCTGGGCGTGGTGGTGGGCACCTGTAATCCCAGCTACTCGGGAGGCTGAGGCAGGAGAATCGCTTGAACCTGGGAGGCAGAGGTTGCAGTGAGTGGAGATCACACCACTGCACTCTATTCTGGTCTACAGAGTGAGACTGTGTCTCAAAAACAAATAATAATTTCAGTACATAGAACTGTGCTAGAAACAGTCAAATCCCCTTGTGATTTGTTACTTTTTATTTTTGTGACCATTCTGTGTATAAAACAGTGTTAATTTTTTTTTCCATTGGAGAGATTTTATGTCTCTTTATGAAGGAAATAAGACTTTTCTTCATAGTATTGAACATATCTTTGTAAGGGGAGACATTAATATTATTAGTGCATTTGTTTTATTTCTCCATTGTTGTGTAACAAATTATTCCAAAATCTAGGAGCCTATTTACTTTTATTTATTTTTTATTTTTTGAGATAGACTCTTGCTGTGTCACCCAGGCTGGAGTGCAGTGGCACAGTCTCAGCTCACTGCAACCTCTATCTCCCAGGTTCAAGCGATTCTCCTGCCTGAGCCTCCTGGTAGCTGGGATTATAGGTGCCCACCACCACACTCGTCTAATTTTTGTGATTTTTTTTTTTTTTTTTTTTTTTAGACGGAGTCTCGCTCTGTTGCCCAGGCTGGAGTGCAGTGGCCGGATCTCAGCTCACTGCAAGCTCCGCCTCCCAGGTTCACGCCATTCTCCTGCCTCAGCCTCCCGAGTAGCTGGGACTACAGGTGCCCGCCACCTCGCCCGGCTAGTTTTTCGTATTTTTCAGTAGAGACGGGGTTTCACCGTGTTAGCCAGGATGGTCTCGATCTCCTGACCTTGCGATCCACCCGTCTCAGCCTCCCAAAGTGCTGGGATTACAGGCTTGAGCCACCGCGCCCGGCCTGTGATTTTTTTTAGTAGAGACAGGGTTTCACCATGTTGGCCAGGTAGGTCTCGAACTCCTGACCTCAAGTGATCCACCTGCCTCAGCTTCCCGAAGTGTTGGGATTACAGGCATGAGCCACCTCATTGTTACATTGTTATTGTAACAATATAACAATCCTGGCCCTAGGAGCCTTAAAAAAAATTTATTTATTTATTTATTTATTTATTTATTTATTAGAGACAGGGTCTCACTCTGTGATCCAGGCTGGAGTGCAGTGGCGTGATCATGGCTCAAGCCTCCTGGGCTTAAGCAGTCTCTCACTTTAACCTCCCAAGTAGCTAGAATGACAGGCTCATACCTCCACGGTCAGATAATTTTTTATTTTTAAAGTTTTTGTAGAGCTAGGTTCTTGCTGTGTTGCCCAGGCTAATCTGGAACTCTTGGTCTCAAGCAGTTCTCCCGCCTTGGCCTCCCAAAGCACTGGGATTACAGGCATGAACCATCGCACTTGGCCCTACCAACTTCAAACAATACACATTTATCTCATTGTTCCTGTGGGTCATACATTCTGGCATAGCTTAGGCGGGTGGTTCTAGTTGAGACACTTTCATGCATTTGCAGTCAAGTTGTTGGCTAGAGCTACAGTATCTGAAGGACTTACGGGTGGTAGAGATTTGCTTCCGAGATGGCTTACTCACAGCTCACTCACACGACTCTTGGAAGGAAACACTAGTTCTTAGCCATGTGGATCTCTCCATGAAGCTATTTGAGTGTCCTTAAAATGCAGCTGATACTCTAGGGGAAGGAAATTAAACTCCATCTCCTCAAGGGAGTAACGTCAGGGGGTTTTTTTCTTTTTTTTTTTTTTTGAGACAGTCTCGCTGTGTCGCCCAGGCTGGAGTGCAGTGGCCGGATCTCAGCTCACTGCAAGCTCCGGCTCCCGGGTTCCTGCCATTCTCCTGCCTCAGCCTCTCGAGTAGCTGGAACTACAGGCGCCCACCACCTCGCCCAGCTAGTTTTTTGTATTTTTTAGTAGAGACGGGGTTTCACTGGGTTAGCCAGGATGGTCTTGATCTCCTGACCTCGTGATCTGCCCGACTCAGCCTCCCAAAGTGCTGGGATTACAGGTATGAGCCACCGCGCCCGGCCACGTCAAAGGGTTTGAGGACATACAGTCACACGTTACTTAACAGCAGGGATATATTCTGAGAAATGCATTGTTAGGTGATTTCATCGTAGTGTGTGCTCCTGCACACCTAGGCCTGTATGTAATACCTGTGGCTCCTATGCTGTAACCTGAACAGTATGTTACTGTATTGAATACGGAAGGCTGTTTTAACACAATGGTAAGTATTTGTGTATCTGAGCATATCAAACATAGAAAAGGTACAGTAAAAATGTGGTGTTACAATCTTACAGGACCAGCGTCATATATGCAGTCCATTGTTGCCAAAGCATCATTATGCAGTGCGTGATTATACGTTAAAACCACCACAACAGTGATTAGCTCACAGCCCTGTTTTTCCTCCTAGTGGTGAAAGTGCCACAGAAGACACTCCTGATGGATGCTCTTAAAGAAGAATCTGAGATAATCTATGACTTTTGCATGTGCAACCCTCCCTTTTTTGCCAATCAATTGGAAGCCAAGGTAAAATGTCTTCTGCTTTAAAATAATTGAATATAGGCTGGGCACAGTGGCTCACGCCTGTAGTCCCTGCACTTTGGGAGGCCAAGGTGGGCGGATCATGAAGTCAGGAGTTGGAGACCAGCCTGGCCAACATGGTGAAACCCCTTCTCTACTAAAGATACAAAAAATTAGCCAGGCGTCGTGCCCCACACCTGTAATCCCAGCTACTGGGGAGGCTGAGGCAGGAGAATCGCTTGAACCCGGGAGGCGGAGGTTGCAATGAAAACTTTAAAAAATTAACTTATGGTCGGGCGCGGTGGCTCAAGCCTGTAATTCCAGCGCTTTGAGAGGCCGAGATGGGCAGATCATGAGATCAGGAGATTGAGACCATCCTGACGAACACGGTGAAACCCTGTCTCTACTAAAAAAAATCCAAAATCTAGCCGGGCGTGGTGGCGGGCGCCTGTAGTCCCAGCTGCTGGGGAGGCTGAGGCAGGAGAATGGCGTAAACCCGGGAGGCGGAGCTTGCAGTGAGCTGAGATCCGGCCACTGCACTCCAGCCTGGGCGACAGAGCGAGACTCTGTCTCAAAAAAAAAAAAAAAAAAAAATTAACTTACTATTTTTTAAAGAAAACTTAAAAAAATTAACTTACTACTTTTTAAATTAATATATTTGAGATGAGGACTTGCTTTGTTGCTCAAGGTGGTCTTGAACATCTGGACTCAAGCAGTCCCCCTCCCGTCAGCTCCCCTAGTAGCTGAGACCATAGGCGCGTGCTACAGTGCCTAGGTTTTGAAAGCTGTGTCAGTTAGGGTGCTTTTGGTTTGAGGTACTTTCGGCTGTCTGTGTCTATAGGTCCTACACCTGTGGGATCCACATCTGTGGATTCAGCCAACCATGCATTGAAAGCATTGGGAGGCTTGCACGGTGCCTCATACTTGTAATCCCAGCACTCTGGGAGGCTGAGGCGGACAGATAGCTTGAGCTCAGGAGTTCAAAACCAGCCTGGACAACGTGGTGAAACCCTGTCTCTACAAAAACTATAGAAAGAATTAGCCAGATGCTGTGGCGTGTACCTGTAGACCCAGCTACTTCGGAGGCTAAGGTGGGAGGATGGCTTGAGCCCAGGAGGTGCAGGTTGAATGGAGCCAGGATCGTGTCACTGCACTCCAGCCTGGGTAACAGAGCAAGACCTTGTCTCAAAAAAAAAATTTGGGGAAAAAAAGAAAACAATAAAAAATAACAATGTAACAATGAAAAGTAATACAAAGCTACAGTATCACTATTTTTACATAGCATTCACATTGTATTAGGTATTATAATTAATCTAGGAATTATTGAAAGTAGATGAGATGACGTGGGCAGGTGAAATGCAAATCCTACCCCATATGACAAAAGGGACTTGAGCTTCCTTGGATTTTGGTATCTAAGGCAGATCTTCCTCAGATACTGAGGGAGGACTGTACCTAAAAACCCAATTTAGGTTGACTTAACGACAAAGGAAGTGTATTGGCTGACATATTTGAGAAACCCAGCAGTAGTTGGGATTTCATAATGATTTGATTAAGGTGTTCACAGTATTAAGAGCTCTGTTTTTCTCTTGGCTGTGACTTGTTCTGTGGTTGTTTTTGTTCATAAGCTGGTTTACTTGTGGTACAGCAATATTTAGAGGGTGGGAGGGTGCAGAGAGAGCTCTTTTCTTCCCTGAACCATTGAACATTTGATTTGCTTCTCATTTGACCAACTTGGGTCATAGTGCACTCCTGGACTGAACTTCTTGGCTTAGGAAGGAAATCAATGTTTTTACTGCTACATGGCCTGCTTTTTTTTTTTTTTTTTTTTTTTTTTGGTGACAGAGTCTCACTCTTGTCACCCAGGCTGGAGTATAGTGGCGCCATGTCAGCTCACTGCAACCTCCTTCTCCCAGGTTCAAGCAATTTTCCTGCCTCAGCCTCCAGAATAGCTGGGATCACAAGCATGCACCACCATGCCCGGCTAATTTATGTATTTTTAATAGAGACGGAGTTTCACCATATTGGCCAGGCTAGTCTCAAACTCCTGACCTCAAGTGATCTACCCAGCTTGGCCTCCCAAAGTGCTGGGATTAAAGCTATGACCACCTGCGGGGGATCAAAACTGCATTGTCCTTTTTGAGGGGGGGAGGGGCGGGGGGATGGAGTGTTGCTCTGTTGCCCAGGCTGGAGTACAGTGGTGTGATCTCCACTCACCGCAACCTCCACCTCCCAGGTTCAAGTGATTCTCGTACCTCAGCCTCCTGAGTTGCTGGAACTCCTGGCGGATACCACTGCACTCGGTTAATTTTTTTTGCATTTTTATTAGAGACAGGGTTTTACCATGTTGGCCAGGCTGGTCTTGAAATCCTGACCTCAAGTGATCTGCCCATCTTGGCCTCCCCAAGTGCTAGGATTACAGGCATGAGCCACCATGCCCAGCCTGATCTGTCGGGGTTTTGTTTGTTTGTTTGTTTTTTGAGACGGAGTCTTGCACTGTCGCCCAAGCTGGAGTGCAGTGCCGCGATCTCGGCTCACTGCCACCTCTGCCTCCTGGGTTCAAGCGATTCTCCTGCCTCAGCCTCCCCAGTAGCTGGGATTACAGGCGTGAGCCACCGCGCCCGGCCTGATCTGTCTTTTTGATTCTAGCCATCCTAGTGGGTATAAAGTGGCATCTCATTGTGGTTTTGATTAGGGTTTCCCAGATGGCTGATGATGTTCAGCATCTTTTCACGTGGTCATTGGCCGTTTGCATATCTTCTTTGGAGAAATGCTTATTCATATCCTGTGCTCATTTTTAAGTTGGTTTATTTTTCTTTTTTATTATTAAGTTGTAAGCATTCTTTATATATCCTAAAAACAAGTTCCTTATTAGACAGTGATTTGCAAACATTCCCTTCCTGTGGGTTGTCTTCTCACTTTCTTTCTTTTTTTTTTTTTTTTTGGAGACTGAGTCTCGCTCTGTTGCCCAGGCTGGAGTGCAGTGGCCGGATCTCGGCTCACTGCAAGCTCCGCCTCCTGGGTTTACGCCATTCTCCTGCCTCGGCCTCCCGAGTAGCTGGGACTACAGGCGCCCGCCACCTCACTCGGCTAGTTTGTGTTTTTAAGTAAAGACGGGGTTTCACCGGGTTAGCCAGGATGGTCTCGATCTCCTGACCTTGTGAGCTGCCCGTCTCGGCCTCCCAAAGTGCTGGGATTACAGGCTTGAGCCACCGTGCCTGGCCAATCTTCTCACTTTCTTGATGGTGCCCTTTGCAGCTCAGAAGTTTTAAATTTGGATGAAGTCCAATTTATCTGTTCTCTTTTGTTGCTTACGCTTTTGTTGTTACGTTTCAGAAACCATCGCCTATTCCAAGGTCATGAAAATTTACTCTTATGTTTTCTTCTAAAGAGTTTTATAGTTTTAGCTTTTACTTTTAGGCCTTTGATGAATTTTGAGTTAACTTTTCATATGGTATGAGGTAAGGGTGGATTAAATATTTAAATGTGAAAAGCAAAACCATGAAAATGCCAGGAAAAAACATAAGTAAATATTTATCTAATCTTTGGGTAGATTTTCTGTACATGAAAAAGAAAGCATAAAGAAAAAGTGACAGATTGGGCTATATAAAAAGGTAAACAATTTTTATGTTTAATCACAAAAATGGAAAGTAAAAGACCTGGGAATAAATAGTTGCATGAAGTAGCTGTTTAAAATAAAATATTTTAGGCCGGGCGCAGTGGCTTACGCCTGTAATCCCAGCACTTTGGGAGGCCGAGGCGGGCGGATCGTGAGGTCAGGAGATTGAGACCATCCTGGCTAACGTGGTGAAATCCCATCTCTACTAAAAATACAAAAAATCAGCCGGGCATGGTGGCGGCACCTGTAGTCCCAGCTACTCGGGAGGCTGAGGCAGGAGAATGGCTGAACCCGGGAGGCGGAGCTTGCAGTGAGCTGAGATTGCGGCCACTGCACTCCAGCCTGGGTGAAAGAGGGAGACTCCATCTCAAAAAATAAATGAATAAAATATTTTATTGGCTATGTGATTTTAAAATCCAAATCTAGCGTACTATTTGGAAAGTAAAATTGCATCTAAACATTCTAACTTAGAGATAGATTACGTTCAGACTTGGTTCTTAGGTGTACACATTTTTCACCAGTGTTTTCTTGTCGTTGTTCAGGGAGTAAACTCACGGAATCCTCGAAGACCCCCACCTAGTTCTGTTAATACAGGAGGCATCACGGAAATCATGGCAGAAGGAGGTGAATTAGAGTTTGTTAAAAGGATCATCCATGACAGTCTGCAACTTAAAAAAAGATTAAGGTAAGTCTGTTTTTACAACATAGGAATATCTACCCCCTGTGTAGTTCCCTTTTTTGTGGTGGGGGGACAGAGTCTTGCTCTTGTTGCCCAGGCTGGAGTGCAGTGGCGCATTCTCATCAGCTCACTGCAACCTCTGCCTCCTGGGTTCAAGCTTTTCTTGTGCCTCAGCCTCCAAGTAGCTGGGATTACAGGCACCTGCCACCTGTAATTTTTGTATTTTTAGTAGAGACAGGGGGTTTTCACCATGTTGGCCAGGCTGGTCTGGAACTCCTAGCCTCAGGTGATCCACCTGCCTCGACCTCCCAAAGTGCTGGGATTATAGACATGAGCCACCGTGCCCAGCCTCCCCTATGTCGTTCTAAAACAAACCATGTCGCTCAGAGGAAAGGTAATCCTAGTGTTCAGAAGAACAAGCAGATAAAGATTGCGGGCCGGGTGCGGTGGCTCACGCCTATAATCCCAGCACTTTGGGAGGCCGAGGTGGGCGGATCAGAAGGTTAGGAGTTCAAGACCAGCCTGGCCAATGTGGTGAAACCCCATCTCTACTAAAAATATAAAAATGGGCCGGGCGCGGTGGCTCAAGCCTGTAATCCCAGCACTTTGGGAGGCCGAGACGGGCGAATCACGAGGTCAGGAGATCGAGACCATCCTGGCTAACACGGTGAAACCCCGTCTCTACTAAAAAATACAAAAAAAACTAGCCGGGCGAAGTGGCGGGCGCCTGTAGTCCCAGCTACTCGGGAGGCTGAGGCAGAAGAATGGCTAAACCCAGGAGGCGGAGCTTGCAGTGAGCTGAGATCCGGCCACTGCACTCCAGCCTGGGCGACAGAGCCAGACTCCGTCTCAAAAAAAAAAAAGAGTCGGGCGTGTTGGCAGGTGCCCGTTGTCCCAGCTACTTGGGAGGCTGAGGCAGGAGAATCACTTAAACCTGGGAGGCAGAGGTTGCAGTGAGCTGAGATTGCACCATTGCTCTCCAGCCTGGGCGAGAGGGTGAGAGTCCTTCTCCAAAAATAAAAATAAAAATAAAGATTGCAAAGGGAGTGGCTCCTACAATCTGTGAAGACCCTGTTTCTGAGGATGTTCCATGCCTTTAATTGATTAGTGTTTACTGTAATCATGTATATTACATAGATAGGAAAGAGGAAAATACCATATGATTATATTGCTCCCATTAGGATGGTCCTGTCATGGAACAAAACTGATTCAAATACGGCTTTTGATTAGAAAACAGATGGGTTCAGTTCTTTCCCATGAACCAGAATAAATGTGTTGCCTAGTCCTTTCAGCAATTTAGGTTCTTGGAATCAGTCTCCCAAACAGTGACAGATGTGAGGACATTGAGCTGTCAAGAACTTAATGAAGGGAAACTGAGATCACTAACCAGTTGCAGAGGAGGGTTAAGGCCATTCCTTTTGAAAGCTAATTATTTTGGACAGTACACCTGTCGTTAAGCAACATAAGGTACTCAAAAAGAGCTCTTTGTCTCGCTTGACTTCTCTCCCTGCCACATGTTGTTGAAATGATGGATAATGTGGTAGTTCAAAAACTAAAAGAGCTTTCAGCCCTAGGATTTAGCTTTGGGACATAGGGAAGATTTTATTTATTATTATTATTGTGTTAAATGCACATAACATACAATTTACCATCTGTATTAGTCCATTCTCACACTGCTATAAAGAAATACCTGAGACTGAGTAATTTGTAAAGAAAAGAGGTTTAATTGGTTCATGGTTCCACAGGCTGTACAGACAGCATCGCTGGGGAAGCCTCAGGAAATGTACAATCATGGCAGAAGGTGAAGGGGAAGCAGGTACATCAGTACATGGCCAGAGGAGGAAGAGGAAGAGAGAAGGGGGGTGGCAGGGTGCTACACACTTAAACAACCAGATCTAGTGAGATCTCACTGTCACCAGAACGGCAAGGGGAAATCTGCCCTCAGGATCCAGTCACCTCCCAGCAGGCCCCCTCGCCAACACTAGAGATTACAGTTTGATATGATATTTGGACGGGGACACAAATCCAAACCGTATCGCCATCTAAAATGTTAGAGTCTAGTTAGTAACGTTAAGTACATCCCCATTGTTGTGCAAGCAGTCTGCAGCACTCTTCATTTTGCGTAACTATAACTGTGCTGCTTAAGTAACTCCTCATTCTCTCCTTCCCTGAGCCCCCTGGCAACCATCATTCTGCTGTCTGTCTCTACGAACTTGACTACTCTAGGTACCTCGTACAAATGGAATCATACGGTATTTGTCCCTTATGACTGGCTTTTTTCACTTTTCGTCATGTTTTCAAGGTTCGTCCATGATGCAGCATATTTCTGAATTTTCTTCCTTTTTAAGGCTGATAATGTTAAAATTCCATTGTCCATGTGTACCACGTTTTGTTTCTCCATTCATCTGCTGATGGAGAATACTTAGGTATTGCTTCTACCCTTTAGCTATTGTGAATAATGCTATATGAATGTGGGTATATAAATATCTCCTAGAGACCCTGCTTTCAGTTCTTTGGATGTAGACCTAGAAGTGGAATTCCTGGATAGGGAAGATTTTTTTTTCCTATATGGTATTGTCCTCTTTTCTGTCTATGTAGTATAGATGATTATAGGAAACAAAATCACCTAAAGACGTGAGAAGGCTGGGCACAGTGGTTCACGCCTGTAATCCCAGCACTCTGGGAGACCCAAGCGGGTGGATCACCTGAGGTCTGGAGTTGGAGACTAGCCAACATGGTGAAACCCTGTCTCTAGTAACAAATACAAAAAATTAGCCAGGCCTGGTGGCAGGCACCTGTAATTCCAGCTACTCGGGAGGCTGAGGCAGGAGAACTGCTTGAACCTGGGAGGCAGAGGTTGCAGTGAACCAAGATTGCGCCACCGCACTCCAGCCTGGGTGACCGAGCGAGACTCCATCTGGAAAAAAAAAAAAAAAGACAGGAGAACATCCTTAGAAATGAAAATATCCTCAGAAACAGGGTCTTTGCAGGCTATAGAAGCTACTACCTTTTCAATCTTTGTTTATTCTTATTCTATACATCTTTCCTATCTCTCAAAGGTAGAAAGCTGCTTATTTTATTAAAGACTTATTCCAAAATCATCAAATATCCTATTTTTTTTTTTTTCTTCGAGACAGAGTCTCACTCTGTCACCCAGGCTGGAGTGCAGTAGGGTGATCTTGGCTCACTGCAACCTCTCTCCGCTTCCTAGGTTCCAACGATTCTCATGCCTCAGCTTCCTGAGTAGCTGGGGCTACAGGCATGTGCCACCACGCCTGGCTAAGTTTTTGTACTTTTTTAGTAGAGTTGGGGTTTCACCATGTTGGCCAGGCTGGTCTCGAAGTCTTGACTTCAAGTGATTCTCCTGTCTTGGCCTCCCAATGTGCCGGGATTACAGATGTGAGCCACCGCACCCAGTCTAGATTGACTTATTTAGACACATTAAACTATTTTGAAGAAGAAAGAGACTAAAATTATACTGAGCATTGAGAAAAGTCTGAGAAAGTAAAATAAAGAAGGTAAGAGCACTGAAATTCACAGAAAAGAGGTAACCGAGCCATGTGACCATTTCATGTGGCTGTTTAAAAAAATTGAGACTGAGTTTCACTCTTGTTGCCCAGGCTGGAGTGCAATGGTATGATCTTGGCTCACCGCAACTTCTGCTTCCCAGGTTCAAGCAATTCTCCTGCCTCAGCCTCCCGAGTAGCTGGGATTATAGGCATGCACCACCACGCCAGGCTAATTTTGTATTTTTAGTAGAGACAGGGTTTCTCCGTGTTGGTCAGGCTGGTCTCGAACTCCCGACCTCAGGTGATCCACCCGCCTCAGCCTCCCAAAGTGCTGGGATGACAGGCGTGAGCCACCGTGCCCAGCCCTCATTATGGCTTTTGAGGGAACAGGAGCCAGCCAGGAAAATGGGGAACTGTAGGTGGCTCTTCTGGGCTACAATAATATTGGGGTTGTTCTCAGGAGGCTTTTAAACAGTAAGTTTCTGTTATTTCCAAAGTTCCATTTGAACTACAAAAATATGTTTGAACAGAACACCATTTTAAGGGGTGGAAATGGACTCAGTATGTTCCTAGTCTGCTTATCCCTGGCGCTGGGGCAGCCTGCGAATTGAACCAAGGGTGTAAATTTGCTAGGAAGGGTAAAATGCAAAGGCGTCACAGCTCTGGAGAGCCCCAGCCATCTTGTCTTGGTATCATATATGAAACAAACCCTGTTAGGTTATTTAAAACAAAGTGCAACTGTCTTCTCTGTGAGGACTCAGGCAGTTTGAAAGTTTAGATGAAAAGGAAAATGAGAGTTTTTTTTTTTTTGAGGCAGGAATCGCTCTATCTCGCCCAGAGTCTCGCTCTGTCGCCCAGACTGGAGTGCAGTGGCGCGGACTCTGCTCACTGCAAGCTCCGCCTCCCGGGTTCGCGCCATTCTCCTGCCTCAGCCTCCCGAGTAGCTGGGACTACAGGCGCCCGCCACTGCGCCCGGCTAATTTTTTGTATTTTTTAGTAGAGACGGGGTTTCACCGTGTTAGCCAGGATGGTCTCGATCTCCTGACCTCATGATCCACCCGTCTCGGCCTCCCAAAGTGCTGGGATTACAGGCTTGAGCCACCGTGCCCAGCCATGAAGTTATTTTTATTGAGAAGAAAATAGAAGAGTGTTTTGTGAAAGGGTATTGCTTGCAAATATTGTTTTCAATCACATCCTACCATGATTACTCAGTTCGTGTCCCCATGCATATGTATATATATCTATCTATGGTTTTTGAGATGGAGTTTTTGCTCTTGTCGCCCAGACTGGAGTGCAATGGCACGATCTCAGCTCATTGCAACCCCCACCTCCTGTATTCAAGCGATTCTCCTGCCTCAGCCTCCAGAGTAGCTGGGATTACAGGCATGCACCACCACACCCAGCTAATTTTGTATTTTTAGTAGAGACAGGATTTCTCCATGTTGGTCAGGTTGGTCTCGAACTCCTGACCTCAGGTGATCCACCTGCCTTGGCCTC